ATATATGCATTTGTGCATACGAATCCGTACCGCAGTGTGAGCATACGCTGCGTCAGATCACTTACGCAGCACTATTATTGTGTTCTTAGACTTTGCACTGGACTACTTCAGGTCATAGTTGATGATTGACCTCGATTAATCGTTGTGATTAAATTAACGGGCCTCGCGATGCTTTTGTTGTTCTATCCTAGCAACGGCTAGGGATGTGTGGGTGTACACGATATAGTTCCAACGTTAATTACGATCTCGACGGAGCTCTTATTCGTGAGTCACGCGGCCCATAGTGAAACGGTATGCGCACCATGATTCGGTACATTCAGACACACAGCGTGATGTGCATCGTTAATTGTTGTAATTCACAATTTGTCATAACAACTGTTCGAAGCTATCGCCTTGTGATGTTACACCGATATTGATAAACGCCTGCTGTACTGTCTAGCTAGTAAGTCACGACTCGGACAATTCTAATTATAGCGAGAGTGATAGGTATCCGGACAACTGGTAACGTGTGCCAATATGCAGGTAGAATATCGAACACACAATCATTATACTGTCATAGTGCGCTGGCGTGGGCTTAGTATAACGGTGCGCCATCTAAACTGGGCCACGTACTGAACGTAATCCTATTATGAGCTCGTTAACGTAATCCCTTTTGGCCTTAATACCGGCCGCGTGAATCTCTGCCGCGTTAATCGCTCCATGTTAGATTGAATAGCCCGGTCTGGCTCGAGTGACGACTAAAGTGCAATGAAATTGTCACATCACCCGACCGAAGCGCTATTCAAATTCATTCCATTCGTCAACGGAACGTCTCGCGCTAAAGGTTTATGGTCCGTGAGCTAAATGACTATTGTCCGACATTGTACAAACAACACATAGTGCTGACTCATAAATTATGATAGACGACTCCGCTCCGCCTATCGTACGTCGTCATAAAAATAATAACGACAAATTATCCTATTAAGACCTGACGTTTTAGTTATAATGATGAGAGATACTAAAGCGTGACACGATGATAGAATGAGGACAATTAAGCATTCGGGGGAGTCTTGCAAAGTGCAGTATTATCCTATATGGCTTTCATTAATTATAGTTACGCATTTTGTATTCACTGAGCCCCTTAATCTTAAAGCAAATGAACTATTGAACCTATTATAGAGGAGCTCAAAAGTCTGAGTGTCTAATTTAGTCTCGACGATTTGTTATATAAACAGTTCTTTTTCGCGATTACATCGCTCTTTAAGATTAAGAACCTAAAACAAATTGCTTCAATGTAAAATACGTGGTTGTAAAGGCCCAATTTCTGAGCCCATTGTGAGAACGGTCGCGCGATGGTATCGTGCGTGGGCGACTTCACGATAAACAACATTACTCGGATGTTAAGCCTGGTTTTTTTTTTCATTACGTCGCATACTCTTCTCGTATACGTCGTGACATTTACGAGTAATGGTTGTTTGTGAGTTTAATGAATATCGTGCGCGTTGACGGTTCGTTCGTACCCCGGAGACTGGGTGTGTCCCGCTGCTGCCGCCGACCGGATTGTTGTAGATTTCGTCGAGATATGACCCCCAACGGAAATATTACTACTCGGTACCTCTTGTCTATTACAGCGACATTTAAAGTGGTATTTATGCGCAACGAGCAATTCTCTTTATTAGCACGTAATTGCTCTGGTTTCGTAAATTAAATAGTCGGTCAATTACACGTTTTTTTCTTTTTTTGTTTTTTTTTATGAAGTAATTAGTAATGAAAATTGTTGACCTAATGTTTGACTTTCATAATTGCTTAGAACAAGCTTTTATGATACTGGTTTATGTCGAAGTCGTAGTGGCTTAAAGGATAAGACGTCCGGTGCATTCGTGTTGAGCGATGCAACGGTGTTCGAATCCCGCAGGCGGGTACCAATTTTTCTAATGAAATACGTACTTGACAATCGTTCAATTACTGGTGTTAGGACCTCTTGTGAGTCCGCACGGGTAGGTACCACACCACCCCGCCTATTTCTGCCGTGAATCAGTAGGTAATGCGTTTCGGTTTGAAGGGTGCGGCAGCCGTTGTAACTATACTGAGACCTTAGAACTTATGTCTCAGGGTGTGTGGCGCATTTGCGTTGTAGATGTCTATGGGTTCCAGTAACCACTTAACACCAGGTGGGCTGTGAGCTCGTCCACATATCTAGGCAATAAAAAAAAATCAACTAATTTAATGGGTACAAATAAAATTATACAAACCAGAAATCGTAAAATTACAATGTCGTTGGATCAACGGATTTTTTGAAGAAGATACACGTGAATAGCCAAGTAACCTCGTTTCTTTATTCGAACTCGACTACCGACCACATATTATTACGCCACAAATCAAGGCCGATCTCTGCTCGTATCGATATATTATTCACAAAAAAATATATATACATATATCCTATGTAAATAGTTTCTGAATAAATAGGTCGCTAGTGTAAATTGGAAAGGAACCTAAAATAACTTTAGTATCAGTAACTCAGTTATTCAAATCTGCCGAAATTCTTGTTAAACGTATTTCTTAAAGAGAGAAAGAGAGAGAGAGAACGCTTTCAACATGAATCCCGTCCAATTTGAATGAGTTATCCGTATGACTGACTGCTTCAGGGTGGGTACGCAACGCATACCTAGAGCCACTCACAGAACGATGCTCCCGGTCCCGTTCAAATTGTTTAATGACCCGAATAAGTTAAATGTGGGACTGGTAAGTAATTAAGGGACTGGAAATTCTTGAGATCCGAACGGGGCCCCTTATAGTGGGGTAAACTCGGCGACTCGCATTCATTCGACTAAAACTTTTATATCTTTACGAATAATTGGTAATGGCAACTGCTTTAATGTCAGTAATAATTTACGTTTGCAATATATTCGTAATTCGAAGTTTAATAAAAAGTTGTAGAAAGCGACAACGAACGACAAAAAGCAAACATATTTACATAATTTATGAGAACGTTTTCTGCTACGCGTTAAATAAATCAACTCTAACAAATTACCGCAATATATCACGAATACTACCGAAAATACATCGGCACGAGTACCTACACATACTTGATAATCGTCACAGTTGTAGCGAATGCAACAATGTCGACAGGTAGGTATCTTGTGAAACACTATCCAAATAGTTACTTAGAAATTACTGCGAGGTTTCTCGGTCGCTTCCCTATCGGGTCAAGGTTTTTATAAACACGCTACTCTTTTACACGCTTTCTGAATAGGTGCAAGTTAAATGTAAATTTTGCATTGTCATGATTTAAATAAGTAAGATTTTGTGTAGAGATTTAAATTGCCACCGCCTGCTTTGACCACAAGAGTTATTTTTTATTTTTATTTTTTTTTATTGCTCTTGTAGGCAGACGAGCATACGGCATTACCGTCGCCCATGGACTTCAGCAATGCCAGGGGCAGAGCGAAGCCGCTGCCTACCGCTGCCTACCGCTTAATACTCTCCACAAGCCTCGTTTGAAGAAGGACATGTCATAGCGCTCGGGAAACACCATGGAGGGGAGCTCATTCCATAGCCGGATGGTACGCGGCAAAAAAGACCGTGGATGACCGCAGTGGCTTCAGATAGTACGGATGAATTCTACTCCGGTGGCGAGCGGTGCGATGGCAAAAACGAGATGATGGTATCACCTCGAATTATTTCTCAGAGCACTTCCCATGGAACATACGGTACAAAATACAGAGGGAACCGAAATCCCTCCGCAGACCCAGAGGTTCCAAACGATCCGTGAGAATGGGATTATCGACAATCCGAACGGCCCTCTTCTTATGCAATCAAATGGAAGAAGCTGGTATGACATGGTGGTTGGTTACATTTGAAACGAACGGTAAAGTTTTCCGATCCAAGCCCATGTGACCCGTGTCCAGAAAAATCGTACAAAAACTTCATTAAAAACGTTGAAAGTTCATAAAACTCGCTTCAATAACGGCCACAAATATAACCGAACAGGTTGTTGTTGCATTGTCAGTTCGTTTGTCACGCTTATAAATCACATGAAACATCTCGCAGCTTTTAAAAGGCTTCATTCTCCGTTCTCGTAGTTTCTTTTCAAGCATTTGGAGTTCATTATTCTAATTGTATGCCTATTGTTGTCGATTAACATGCCGATCTGGGGTTACATCTTCAATTACGTGTCGAACTCAGGCACCAATTTTTTTTACGTATTTATGTACCTATGTAGTCACTAGGTAGATTGTTAGTAAAGTTAATAATCGCAAATTGGTTTTCAAAGAATATGGGATCCAAACAAATCTATTCAGAGCTATGTATATTCGTGAACTCCCGTCCCGCTCTGCTGTAACTGTCGCTAATTCTATGAAAAAGATTAATTTCCTTTAAACTATTCGCGCATCATCTACTGTAGCTGGATCGTACAGTATTATACCTATATGCTGTGCTAATGTGCTTATACATAGATTGTGAGATTTCATTATAACCCCAGTGACTTTTACGTGAAAGAGTAAGAAAAATCCATTGATCCTCTCTCACACACTCTCGCACTCATAAAATTAACAGGAATTTTACGTGTGACATTGGTTACAGTTTATTTTTTTAATATATATTCACAATGTTTCGAATGAGTGGTTTTGGTCACAGACAGTTTATGGCCCCATTAAATTTATTTTTGTTTGAAAACGAAAAGTCTAAAACTCAATACATTTATAAATACATACATAATTTTCACTATGCCCAGTCGGATACGTTTATTAAATGTTCCAAATTTTTTTTTTTACAATAGGTATCTAGGCTCGGGTGATTTTTTTTTAGGATTTAACTGGTAATTTAGAATTGACAGAAACAAAATAATAAAAACACAGGTATTAGTTTGGTACCAAAAATGTTGTCATTCGTATTCATTTAGCGATATACGACGAAGCGACAAGCCGCAATTTTGTGAGCAAGTGGCACGACCACAGCCTTAAAATTATGCAGTGATGAGCTTAATATCTTTTTGGGAAGAAAATATAGCCTTTGATTATGAGATTTTATATTTTATAACAAGAGTATATCATGTATGTTAAATTTAACGTTGCGCACGTGACTATTCGCTATCAAAAAAATCATTTTGTATTTTTATTGTTGCAGTAGGAGTGTCTTGAAATTCTAGACTGTAATCAGATTTATCTGGATCATCAATGAACTTGATTTTCTCATATGACGTGGTGTCGTAACATTTTTGATCAGCCTTAAATATAATTTGACATATCTCCTGTTGAACTGCATTTTTTGTTGTGTCCGGATATTGTTTCATTTTGTTGTAAATGAAGGATGTGAAGGATTTGAGTTCTTCGTCTCTCTCCGTGGAATTTCGACGCCGAACTATCACATCAGCATTCGTTAAATTTGTATTATTATTAATATGCGTTTGATCAACGATTTCTTTGTGAACCCCTCCTGACGGTGTTTGCTCAGTTCTGGCCTGTCCGTTGGTCGAGCTATGTGCACAGGAACTATTAATGGATTTCTTTGGAGTTGGTTCATTGTCGTCTGTACGCTAAAAACAAAATAGTTTGGTTTTTTAACTTAAAAAAAACTGTAGTGTATAAATAAGTAACGGCTAATCACGAATGTAACATTAACATTTTTAATTATGATTAACAGTGTCGGTTCATTGATTCAAGAAACTGCATATGAACTCTGCTCCAATGACGGGTGGTGAGGGAAGATAGCTTAATAGGATAACGTATGCAAAACACAAATGTAATTATATTCAATCCGTTAACAGATTCGTGATTTCATGCAGTCGCCAATCCGAACGTTCTTCGTTGCGAAACCATACAGAAGAGTTTTTATTTCAATGTTGAATGGTTCCATATATGTAGGTAGGTATGTACGTACGAACCGTGATACTTTGAAATAGTAGAAGAATACTCGAAAGTTTTTGTAGCATCGATGCCAAAAGCTTTTCTTGTCTATTAAGTGATTTAACTTGATCTTTCTGATAATTGGGAATGATGAATTATTCGAGATGATCCCTCGTCTCTTTTTTATCATCACACCTACCGCCATCGGAGCAGAATTCATCCTTATTGTCTGGAACCGCTGCGTTCAGCGACAATGCGTTTCAAAATATCTTTTTTGCCACGTACCATCCGGCTTTGGAATAAAATCGCCTCCACGGTGTTTCCCGAGGGCTATGACATGTCCTTCTTCAAACGAGGCTTGCGGAGAGCACTTAATGGTAGGCAGCGGCTTGGCTCTGCCCCTGGCATTGTTGACGTCCATGAGTGACGGTAACCACTTACCATCAGGTGGGTCTTATGCTCGTTTGTCTACGAGGCAGTAAAGGCAGTAAAAAATAAAACTAAGGGCACAATTAAACCTAACTGACTAATGAAAACGCCTCGTTTAAATCTTATTAAACATTACTTAAATAACGGCCCTTTGATAATTGTGTTCTTCTGCACAGTGAACGCACAAAGCCCTGTCATTAATAGACACGGGAAATATATTTAAAGATCCGTTTCGAAGGTTTCCAGTTCAAAGATATGTTTGGAAATCCTTTTCGCAGACATTGTGTAGGATAAAATGATGAAATACTAAATTGGGAAAACGTAACTAACACTGTTAATCCTTCGTTGATTGATCTATAGGAGAAAGCCACAAGTTAAACGACTGTGACTATTATAACTATATCTTAACTAACCTTAGCTAGGCGTTTTCTTTCAATAGATTTATCCATTAAAAACTTCAGTTCTTTAAAGGCAAACCATTTGCTTTTATATTTACAAGTAGAAGAATCTGGAAAAAATGTGAAATAATTATGTATTACAATTTGATATGCATAAATTATTAATTCTTCTAATTTTGGTAGACGAATGCACTTTTTTTACTACCTAATCGTTAATAGTTGGAGAGCTAGCATCAATTTTTGGATAGATATTTGAGGCAAGCTGAAAACTTGTCACGTATCTCTCAATAATACCCTTTTTTTCCTTTTCCTACCTATGCTGATAGCCTTGAGAGGCTATTTCAGCTTCTCCTTAGCGTGTAGGTGATCTCACGGGGCTCAAACTAGGAGTGTTGCTAACACTTGGCCCTAGCAAGAGCAGTGCTTCGCAGAATCTCCCACTGCAGTTTGAAATTTTAATAGACTTTTATTTATAACTGAAAATTAAGATTCTCAATTCTCAAAAAGACATCATTTTGGTGGGACTTTTCTGCCTGCCAGGTAATCTAAGAAACTATGAATACATGTCCTTCTTCAAAGATGCTTGTGGAGAGTATTAAGCGGTAGGCAGCGGCTTGGCTCTGCCCCTGGCATTGCTGAAGTCCATGAGCGACGGTAACCACTCACCATCAGGTGGGCCGTATGCTCGTCTGCCTCCTAGGGCAATAAAAAAAAAGCTGTAGTGTGAGAGAGAGCGTTTATCGGCAGCAGTTTGCGTTATTGCTTGCCGCGTCACTGTTCACGTGACTTACAACAGCCATAAGGTTTCCAGTCGGAATTGCGAAGTCAAAAATTTTGTGAATTTATGCTAAAAACAATTTGTTGTATAAAAATGATTGTGTTGATTTGTATGTGTTCAAGGGTCGAACGAAAACGGCGAATGACTGCTTCGCGATAGGTCACGGCAGGTGTAACCTGGCTGGTGGTGGGATTGGGAAATCATAGAACCTCGCACCAAATTATGTTTGCAATACCTAACATATATCAAAAAATTACGAATTAAGGCGTAAGATAGGAAACCACTTATGGACACCACACTACGGAATGCTGTACCATATTTTCTAAACAACGATTAGACAAATTAGAATTATTCATATCCCCTCAACAGATATAGCTCGTTAGTTACCTTCATCATCGCCCATACTGTGTTTAATTTTTGCTTTTTCTCTTCGGAACGATGACAGTAAAATCATCATTTTATGTCTACACGCTTCCGCATTCTTGTCCAGCGATTGGCCAATCTCTTCCCAAATCGCAGGTTTCAGATTCTTCTGGAAATACAATTGGTTCTTTTCATCCCACAATACGGGATTGGCTTTAAATTCCTGAATGAGCTTCAAACACTCCGCTTTTGACCACTCATCTACTGGAGATGTAGGAGCCATTTTAAAGTGCAACAAAAATAGCGTCAATCCAAGTTCGCGCGAACGCTACACTGAACAAGGACAGTCTGGATGGGTAATAAACAAACTTATTGAACGTGTTTCACGGGCTGGCTCGTTATGTTCGTCTCTTACTTACTCGTGGCTTAGTAAGGAGTGCGAGAGGGATGCCTTGCGGCTCCGTGTGCTATCTTCAACGGTTCGATCACAGCTCGGTTGCTGTAACGCCTGTATGTGAGCAAGTCGGGTGAATATGCATGTATAATGTTCGTGACAACGTGGCAACGTCGCATTACGCGCTGCATTAGTATTTTAATATTGACAATCAACACAAGTCCAATGTAGTAATCACACTCCTGTGGCCGAATGAAATTCCAAATTAGTACCAATTTATAGATATTGATTGGCAATTAAGACCGAAAGCTAAAATAAAATATCGAGTTTTTGTTTCTAGATTATGGTTCTCTTCTAATTGAACAATTTAAGGTTTTTGTTATTATGAGAATAATACACATTACACAATCAAGCTAATGATTTTGTGGCGTTTTGAATTATTACAATATTTTTTTATGAAATTTGTTACTGCTGTCATATTACAAAGGTAGCCCTTCAAATCATTCCGTTCACGTTTCCGTCTTATTATTCAATCTAAAGCAATCAACTTAACAGGAATCACCAGGAATGATCCGATACGATTTGACCCTCACATCTATTTACAGTAACCAGTTTTGGTCGCCTATTGCTGCTCAAAAACAAAAATGTCTTGTTTGCTAGACACAACTTTATAACTGCTTCCTTCTTGTTAATATTTACATCGAGCCTCGTGAATATTGCCGGGGACTATAATGTGACTAATACATAGTACCGTACCGTTTTTTTCTTAAAATAATAATTTGCTAACGCGTATTAACGGGCGACTTGAAAAAAAATGGCGTTTTAAAACAAAAATCAAAAAGCAAAATGTATAACATTTTCATAATGATATTGATAAGCTTGCACGCGTCTTGCGTATTTTCAACTACTAAACAGTCTTGTACTGTAAGTTTGAAGGGTGGGACAGTTACAATATAATTTATGCTTCGATCTCATATTTCGCCTCGAATGAGGGTATTCACACCTTAACAACAGGCGGGCCCTGATCTCGCCCACACGATTGCCATAAAATAACAATAAAAATTGAGGAAAGTCGTCGTAGAAACATAAAAGACCACATATCCACATCTAAAGAGTATGCGTTTCCGTAAAACAATTCGAAGTCCTCGTGGCCTAAGGGATAAGACGTCCGGTGCATTCGTGTTGAGCGATGCACCGGTGTTCGAATCCCGCAGGCGGGTACTAATTTTTCTAATGAAATACGTACTCAACAAATGTACACGATTGACTTCCAATGGTGAAGGAATAAAAATCAAACCCGCAAAATTATAATTTGAATAATTACTGGTGGTAGGACCTCTTGAGAGTCCGCACGGGTAGGTACCACCACCCTGCCTATTTCTGCCGTGAAGTAGTAATGCGTTTCGGTTTGAAGAGTGTGGCAGCCGTTGTAACTATACTGAGACCTTAAAACTCATATCTCAAGATGGGGGGCGGCATTTACGTTATAGATGTCTATGAGCTCCGCTAACCACTTAACACCAGATAAGCTGTGATTTCGTCCCATCCCATCTATGCAATAAAAATATAAAAAAGTAAAAAATTAGTAATAAAATAAATTAATATGAAAAAAAACACAAATTTACAACTATTTACAAAGATCTATTACAAGCTATGAGTACATAACATAAGTTCACACGCGTCGAATGCATATCTATGAAATACAATACAGAAGAGAGACGGGACCAAACAGCTATGTTTTATTTATTTATTTGCAAATAGTTATACCCCGGCAATGATTCTAGGTTTGCGGGACATGTGTGTAAATATTCACGCGAACCGACACAGTTACGATTTAATGTTATTTGTTGAAATTTCTATATGGAATTTCATTATAGATTATTATCGTTAATTGCATTCGTGGTCGCATGGTCGGTCACAGGAAATCCGTTAAAAGTTGTTCGCTTTATAAAGACTAGACTAGATGACGCGTGATTTCATTAAATGTAAATTTTGTCGATTACAAAATAATAATAAAAACGTGAGAACGAAATTTGAAATGAACAAATTTTATTTTAATAGTTTCAAAATTAGGAAGAGTGTGTGATTTACGTATTACGGAACCTCCGAGCTTCGGTAACACATAAAAGATGGTGGTATACCATCTTTGCCAAAAACTGTAGCTAATAAATTGTTTACACACACACAAACGAATGCTACAAAAGTTAAATACATACATACTTTTTTTAAAAGTTTGTTTCTCATTTCTATTAATTGTTAAAAAAGATGAGACTGATTTTTATAATTCTAAACCTTTATTAAAATACTAGCCATACTCGCCCGCTTCGCTTGGCATTTAAAATTAACATTATTATTTGTGGTCATTATTATTAGGGAGTCCAACACTCATATAAATGTTAGCCTATCCATTAAGCACATGTATTTTCTACATGGATGCCAAGTTTCAAGTAAATCTGATGCATGGTTCAGTAGTTATAACGGAACATCCGTAAAAACCACTGTAGATTTATATATTAAATAGTATAGATATAGATATTTTAAATTCAAAATATTTTGCAAAAATATTGTCCATATTATATAATATCAGTTATAGTAAAATATGTCTCTATGTATAATTGATTTTGAATCTTCCATTCCACTACAAATCAAATAATATTATGAATTATTATGATGGTAATATCCAACGTGATTTAAAATTCGATCGCCACGATTAAAACGAATAAAAATAGAAACATCAAAATTTTTAAGATGAGTAAAAAATGTTAATTCGTTTTCAAATTGCATTCCACGTAGGTATGCGACTCACGTAAAACTCGGAAGATTATAAATGTGTGTATAGATGAAACAAGACTACGGTCCGCTGTGGATATTTTACGCTGGTTTTTTGATACGACACACGCGCTCCTCGTCTCACGTTAATGGGAACTATGCGAAAAAAAGAAATACTCTGGTCTGCGGAGATTAGGATTGCCGGCCTGACCTCGAACGATGTTAAAGAGCAAGCGCAAGACAGGATGAAGTGGATACAACTTGTCATTAGCCCTATGTACCAGCGGGGTATCTTATTACTGGTGGTAGAACCTCTTGTGATTCCGCACGGGTAGGTATCACTAACCTGCCTTTTTGTGCCTTGAAGCAGTAATGCGTTTCGGTTTGAAGGGTGGGGCAGCCGTTGTAACTATACTGAGAACTTAGAATTCATATCTCAAGGTGGATGGCGATATTTACGTTGTTGATGTCTATGGACTCCGATAATTGCTTAACATCAGGTGGGCCGTGAGCTCGTCTATCCGTCCAGGCAATAAAAAAAATACCCTAGGACTACTGCACACAATGCGAAAAACCCTACCTGGAGCTTTAACAAAACTGCACAAACTTTCAATAATTATCGATCACATAAACTACGGATGAACGTAATCGTCACATTGAACACGAAAAAACAAAGTCAGCTCTTTTGGAACCTCTGCTTCTACAGGGCACCGTCATTTCCATGTCTTTTACACCATCCAACGGCCTGCCTACGCAATAGAATTCATGTTCGCTATCTGCAATACGTTTTCTGATATCATTTTTCCATTACCGATTCACCCTGACATGATGATCCCTAGAGTGATTTCTGAGTGCTTCGATCCACATGTGACGAGATAATAATAAAAAGTACAAAAAAAAGTAACAAATGTATAATAATAACGTTAAAATAACAAGTTATTCAGTTTCACAGCCGTCTTTCCTTCCTAAGACGGTCTTGTGCAATTAACAGAGTACTAACCCGTCGAGCTAACGTTTTGCTTCTATCAGTTAGTTGTTCATGCAAATTCAATGAATTTTTCATGAATATTCATTACGTTCGTTCGCTAACTTTATAATGAGGATGTCATCGGTGATGTCTTCAAATAATGGCTACGTTCAATTCATTCCACAAAAAAAAGAATTGTTCATTCTATTATGTTAACCTCAATACATTTAATGTATTTAATATTATAACATCATTATATTTATAAATTGTTTTCGTTTATATTTTGTATGCGATTACTGTAAGATTTATTTGATAAATTAATAGAAATATTTTTGTTTATCTAAAAAAAAAGAAAGTTCGAATAGAAACTAAGCAAAATGAGAAAAGAAAAAGTAAATAACTTTAAATTTTTCTATAATAAATATTTTAAAATCATTGCCAAATAGTGTAAGGCTGCTTATTATCCCACTTTTGAACGATTTGTTTGACTTATTGGTTGAATGTTGTTACTTTAACGCAATGTAGCAATATTAAGTGAAACAATATCGATGCATGCAAAACAAAAGAAAGATTCTTGTTATCCATTCCTTATTTTAACTACGAGTATACGATACGAACTATGCGTTATATCGCGCATAATAGAGGAGGATATGGATCAAGCAATATATGTTAGTATTATATATTCAATTGTAGCCAGCAGTGGATCGTAATCCAAGAAAAAATGTAGTAGGTGTTCAAACAATAATTTATTATAATAAATTCACTTTTCAAGGGGTAGAACGTTTAAAGATTGTTAGATAATGGATAATTATTATATGTTTGTGTATAACATAGTTCCTTGTGATGGTTTACGTTAAATTTTACATAACTGCTCTGAATTTACTCGAATGAAATCGCACCTATGTTGATTACATATGTTTATAAAACAATGTGGTGTTATCGTTACACAACTAGTTTCTATTATCGAGCAAAGAAAACATGAATCGTATTTTTCTTATAGAATTTGCATATACGTATGTCTCAAACACAAAGTTAAAACCTAAAAATAAGTCCAGTGGACTTTATCTTATCCAAGGAACGAACAAAACGTGTTAAAACCGATGATTTGGATGCAGATACACATTAGGGTTACTAAGTACTAGCTGACCCGGCAAATGTTGTGTTGCCTTAAATAAGATATCTAGGGA